CTCTTTGGCTTCGCGTTATTGACTTCCTCAGATTCAACATCAAACTGTGTGATGACACAAATAGCCACAGGCGTTCATTGTTTCACTAAATTAGAAATCACTAAATTAGAAACAAAGAAGAACATTCGCAAACGCATCCAATGGAAGTTGAAGCAAACCTTGTAACCACAGCCTGAAACACACGCGCGGAAGCATTCCTGAGAAACAGAGGAACATGTTAGATACAGTTTTGTGTATTTCTCTGTATTCATAGCCATTTCCATTTTTTTTTTTTTMTTMTCACAGCCATTTCCATTTAAGAAAAGGGTTTTAAAAGATGAGTGTGGATACCTGAGAGTAGCTGGCAGCACCAGGAGAACGATCTATAAATGCACTCCATTGTAGGTCTTTTATCACAGGATCTTTATAGCAAATCTCACTGCAGTCTGATATACCTATAAAGAGTACATTTAAACCAATTCATTCACCATGAAACTAAAACCCGAGAAGAGATGAGATATCCTCGTAAAGTAGGAGACAAGTTTGGTTTAAGGTGTTGTATAGTAAGGACATATGTATCTGTTCATTAGCAATTTCGCTATGGAGTTGAGAAATGCTTACATTCTTCCCATGTTTCACTATCGGCATCACACCCCTTTTTGCAGAACACTCTCCCTACATGGATTCAGGATTTATCATCAGTGCTAAAACTGATGCTAAACCAAAATAGAAAACGGATTGCTATGCTCCTGAAAGTATGTTATACAGCAACATGGAGAACATCTAGCTTTTTTTTTTTTTACCATGAATGGAATTGAGATATCAAGGAGTTAAAACCTTTCATAAGAAACAGCCAAATCAAGTCCATCTACCAGCTATAAAGTACACACATGTGTCTATGGTTCGCAACATCGGCACAGTAGCATCTTTAATACCGATATTTGAGTCTTATCCATTAAATTATTTCTGTACTTCAACTACAACTACTTATCTTCCTACTTCTCCTACTAATATAACCATTTTCTTTATTACATGAAAAAAATGCTCTAAGAACTCTGCATAAGCCCTCTTACTTAAAAACAGCAGAGACATGCCTTATCTCCAATTACATTACTGAAAGAAATGAATCAAGAAGGTGTTCTTTAATACTAGCAATCTATCCAAAGAAGTGATCATCCTCCCAATGCTCAGGAAAGTATGAAAACAAATTCGCCTTATACTGATTAGGGCTTATAGCCAAAATACGGTGACAACAACAATCCAAAACTACCAATTCACAGTCACAAACCAAAACCCAATTCAATTCCAAACAAAAAGAGCAAAACCCTCTCGGAAGATTAACGAACTTGTGTGGAATCATCATCCATTACCAAGAAATCAATCACCAACCCAAATCAACATCAAAGAACAAAAACCCAATTTCACCAGCTTAAAACACACATTCGTGATAAGAATTAGAATTCGATTCTTCATCATCGCGGACTCAAAAACATGAAAACAAACGAGCCAAGAGAAACTGATCCATTTTACGAATCCAATTCCAACATAAACACAAGAATCGAGAGATACATACATGGAATCTGCGTAAGAGCTGCGTACTTATGCGTGCATTGACTCCCACACGGCGGTGCCCATTGCTGCGGTAACATTTCTCTCTCTTCCTCCGCCTTCG